TTGTGACGCCTCACTTCTCCCCATACAGCCCAGCTTCCTGGATAATCTGTTCTGCATACAAGTTGAAAAGCTATGAAGATAGCATGTTACAGAGTAGAATTGTTCTGTAGGATTTTCTGAGCTGTGATCTTTGTAAGAGGCCATCAGTGAGATAGGTTGGCACAGTTACTGCAACATTGGCCTTGAGTATAGAGGAGATTGTGAGTACGCAGCGCATTAGGACAAGGGCTGTTTTGTTTTGTTTTTAATATTTTTAATTTGTTTTAATGAACATTTACAGAGATTTTGTATTTCTATTCATTCATTGTTGCACTTTTCTCCCCCACCTCTCCAGTTTGCTTTTCTCTTTGAAAAGTAAAGTAAAAGAAAAATTCCTTCATTGGTATACAATACCCTGCACCCCCTCACCCCCACCATGAGTATACTCCACTCTGCAACCTTCAGTTCAGACTCTTATGATAATCATAATACCCTATAATATATTGCTTTTAAACTGTTCTTTCTCTTATCCATTTTAATGCAGTTTTAATCTATAATTTATCCAGTTTTTCTCATTCTTTCCCCAACCCTGATGTCAGTCCCATTCTACAGCAGTGGCACTATGCAGTGTTTGTCCTTTTGTGACTGAAATATTTCACTCAGTATAATAGGACAAGGTTTTGATCTGTTGTTCATAAGGTGGCTATGAGTTGTAGTTGGCTCAGTGACTCCTACCAACAACAGAAATCTTTATGGGAAAGCAGATCACTAGGCCTTTCTTTTACAGCACTGCAGGGTGGATTTGAACCACCAACATTTTAGTTAGCAACAGATGACTTAACTGTTCCAATATCTGAAATGAATTTTTATTCACTTTTCAATGTTGTTTCAACCTTTCTCCATATCTACTCAGTCTGTATGCTAAGAAAATAATTTGAGAATGTGGATTATATGAAGAGTTTAGCATCAGGATTGGAAAATGGCCCATTTAAAATCTGCATTATGCAGATGTGACAACGTTTCCTATAGAAAGTGAAGAAGACTTATTTGCTGAAAAAAACCGTAAGATTATAGCCGTCAATATAGACTTCAACTCAACATGAAGAAAACAAAAATTCTCACCACTGACCAATGGGCAACATCATGATAGAGAAATTATGGAAGTAGTTGTCAGTAATTTCTTTTTGCTTGGATCCACAATCAACACTCATAATTGCAGTAGTCAATATGTAAAAAATATGTGTTACATTGCAGAAATCTGCTATCAAGGACTTCTCCAAAGTACTAAAAAGCAAGAATGGCAGCTTAGAGTAAGGTGTGCCATGGTATTTTCAATTGCTTCCTATGCATCTGAAAGTTGGACAATAAATAGGGATAAAAGAAGAAAAATCAAGGACAAAGTCAATGTTTCATCTACCATGATGTTGCCTATTGATCCAGCAGTGAGGATTTTTGTTTTCTTGATATTGAGATGGAATCCACCTTGAAAGGTATAGACTTTGTTCTTCTGCAGTGTTTCAAGTCCTCATCACTTCCTGGAAGCAAGGTTGTGTCGTCTGCATAAGACAGGTTGTTGATGAGTCTTCCTCCAATCCTGATGCCACATCCTTCTTCATATAGTTCCGTTTCTTGATATTTGTTCAGTGTTAGGGTCCTGAGAATTTCCCAGTCCTAGTTTGTTAAACTGGCACAATCTAGCAAGGTTGTTTCCTGAGGTTGAGAAAACATGATAAGAACACACAACTTCAACAGAAGGATAGTTAATGATGGGAAAGTACATAGTCACCCAGTGGTTTGATGGATTTCACCTGCTCACCCAGATAACGTGTCTCAATGAAGTCACACAAGTGAGGGTCGTTCTTGTAGGTGGCCAGTCTGATTCACACTTTTCTCCAAGTGCAGCGCACACTCCATTGCGTTCAGCCCGCTCTCCCACTCATCCCGGTCTGGTTTCTTGATTTCCTGAAGGAAGATGCGGCCACCTCGCTCGCTTCTGCAAGCAGCGAGTGAGGCGGCCGCATCTTCCTTCAGTTTCATCAGTTTCAAGGCGTGTTCCCTCTCCCTCGGGGGATTGGTGGAGAAAATAGTTGGCAAAATTCTCCAATGCCACATCATCACGGTTGAAGTAGTAAGACATGGACAGGTAGACATAGGAGGCGTAGAGCTCCAGATTGAGCAGGCTGTGGATGGCGACCTCTGAGTAATGGTTGTAGTTCTGGCACCTGCAAGGGGGACGCAGTCACCAGTCATCGGGCGATGGCCGAGAAGCGGTGGCTGCAAGGCGCTGGAGCAGAGGCAAGGTCCTTGGGGCATCCAGGGTTGCTGATGTGAGAAGGTGGCAGAGAACTGGCTGGAAATGACCAGCAGGGGAGACTCAGGTGAGCACCAGCTTCTGTTCAAGCACTGTTGAAGCAGGAGACCATGGTGACTCTGCGAAGACCGTCTCACAAAGCTGTTTTAAGAGATATATGTCCATTAGCTTTCACATGGATACGAGGTAATGGAAAAGACCATCAATTAGGTCAAGTGCACATTCACGGTTCACCAATGTGTACATCCTTCCTTTTGAATTATGGTGTTGGCAGAGACTATTTAATAGACCATGGACTTCACAGAGAATGAATGAACTCTAACTGAGAAAAAGTACAGTCAGAATGCTGCTTAAAAGCAGGAATGGCCACTTTCTTAAAAAGTTGCAAATAGAAATACCATTTGACCCAGCAATTCCACTACTGGGAATTTACCCTAAAGAAACCGTAAGTGCCACCCAGGCAGATATATGCACACCCATGTGTATTGCAGCTTTGTTCACAATAGCAAGAAGTTGGAAACAACCTAAGTGCCCATCAGCAAACAAATGGATAGAGAAGCTGTGGTATATTCACACAACAGAATACTATGCTCCATTGAAAAACAAGCAACTCATGAAATATTATTAAAAATGGGTGACCTTGGAGGACATTACGCTGAGTGAAATATCTCAGTCACAAAAGGACAAATATTGCATAGGGCCAGTGTTGTAAAATGGGACTGACATCGGGGTTGAGGGAAGACAGAGAAGGAAGGGAGGAATGATGTATACTGCATTGAAATAGATGCGGGAGAGAACTGTTTAAAAGACATATCTGATTGGGTATTATTGTCATGACAGGAGTCCAGAGTGGAGGCTGGAGTGGAGTGGACTTGCAGGGAGGGACTGCATAACAATGAAAGAGTTTTTCTTTTCAAGAAGAGTGGATTCAGGGGACAGGGTGGGCAGGGAGAAAAGTGCAACAGTGAATGACTGGAAACCTTAAGTCTCTGTAAATTGTCATTAAAATTAATTTTAAAAAATTTTTAAAAAACATTTTTTAAAAAAAGGAGGAATGGCAAGACTCGGCCTTACAACATTTGGAATCATTATCAGGAGGGACCGATCTCTGCAGAAGGACAGCATGAAGAAGGACAGGCAGAGGGTCGGTGAAAAAGTAGACGACCCTCAACAAGATGTACTGACACGGTGGTTTCAACAGTGAACTCAAAGCATCAATTGTGAGGCCGGAGGAGCTTAGACAACACTTCATTCTGTCACACATGGGACCCCTGTGAGGCACAGCTCACCTCAGAGCACCTACCCACAAAGTGTATTGGCCTTTTTAACTCTCACAACAATAGGCCCATTATAGGCAGCAGCAGCCACTCAGTCTACCTAACGGTGGCACCAAAATTTAGGTAACTTGCCAAAGTGGGTGGGAAGGAATCTGAGATTTGAACTTAGGCTCTTTGAGATCTGATGACGCTACATGCAATCGACTCAACAGCTAATACCTTGTCCCTTTCTCCCGAGGAACAGGCACCTAATTCTTTTCATTCTCTCTCTCAACAGTTGCTGGCTGAGGATTGATAAAGGCTTTATCTGGAGCTTCATGGGACCAGTGGCCGTCATTATCTCGGTAGGAAACTGGAAGCCGATTTGTTACTGGTGTGCTCTGGTGGTACAATCTTCTAAGAACGTGACCATTAAGTGAGAGATTAGCATTGTGAGCCTATCCCCAGCCATCTATTCCTGTAAAGGCCATAGTCTAGCAAACGCTGTGATGTTGCTGTTGTTGTTACGTGCTGTCAAGTCACTTGCAACTCATAGCGACCCAATGTATAACAGCTCTGAACCCTGCTCAATCTTGAGCCAAATTCATTGTCTCCGACACACCTATCCCCATTACCCCAGGCACTGAGTCAATTCATCTCATCCTGAGTCTTCCTCTCTTGCACTGTCCTTCTACCCTTCCGAGTATGGTGTCCTTCTCCAAGGACTGGTCCTTCCTGGCTACATGCCCAAAGTATGTGAGATGGAGCTTCAAAATCCTTGCCTCTGAGGAGCAGCCTGGTTTCACTGTCTCCAGGACAGATTTGTTTGTTCTCTTAGCAGTCCACGGTATGTTCAACACACTTCTTGAGCCCCACAGCTCAAAGGCATCAATTCTTCTTCCTTCATCCTTGGTCTTTGTCCAGCTTTCTGACACATAGCAAGTAATTGGGAAGATCATGGCCTGGATCAGGCACACAGTCAAGTTGAATACGACTCAGAGCAATCTATGAACAACAGATCAGAACCCTGTGTCCTTTTCTGTCTTGTCCTTATGATCTCTGAGACCCTCAAGCCCATTGCTGCACTGACTGTTAATACAGCTTCCAGACTAAGATAGAGTAGGAAGAAAGGCTTGATGATATAGTTCCAAATGGCAGTTAATGAAAACTCCATGCATAACGATGGTCTGCTTTGTAATTGTTTATGGAGATAGCACAGGAATGGACAGGGTTTAATCCCATTACATGTGAAGTCACCATGCGTCGAGGTTCAGTGGGACAGCAGCAAACAACCTAACATTTAAGCTTGAGAAATGTAATAGACATTTTCAACTTGTTCAAAACTAAACTTGATTTGAACTGTTCCTCCAAGTTGCTCCTTCCTTAACTCAGAAATGGAAGATTCTTCCTCCTGAGCTCTTAACTTGTTGACCCTGGAATCATCCTGACTCTATACCTTCTCTCGCATACAACATATAAAGCATTGTTACGTCCAGTGCTTGAAGACATGGGTGTTGATGAAGACATGGGTATTGGTGTGTTTGAACCCAACGTTATGGCCACTGTATATTTTCAGTTTCTCCCAAACTAGAGGGCTCATCAACCACCATATTACCAGACATTACACTGTTCTGATCCACAGGGCTTCTGCTGGCTAATTTTAAAGCGCAAATCATTAGACCTTTCTTCATATTCTTTTTTTTAGTCTTTTCATTCTCCCATTGGTCTAGTGGACAGAAAGTTATGCTACCAAGCCCAAGGTGGATGATTTTGGTCTGCAGCACTCAGGCCTGGTTTAAATTGTTTTTTGTCAAACATTCTTGTAAGTGGTATAGCACTAGTCTGTCCATTTGCTGTACAGAGGTAACTCATGGTTACTGTGAAGCTAAACACTGTGACACTGATGTGCCAAATGTAACAATGGTTATCTATGGTGGGCAGTGTTTGGTGGAGCTTCCCAATTAAAACAAGCTTGGAGGCAGGAGTGGCATCCACTTCTGAAATGGCTTGCCTCTGGAAACTCTTTCAACAGTGCTCAGGTGTTTCGTTCATAGGATCACTATGAGTCATCTATAACTCAACGGCACGTAAAAACAACAATTCTCCCAACACCTGTCAACCAAGGGGAATCATAAAATACCAGTCACTAACTTCCAGTATCAAAGCAACACACAAACCACTACAATCGATTGCGTAATAGACATGTGGTGCACATTCCAAGTTAGATGGCAAGTAATGGCCTCAAACAAAATTCTAAGTTCATTTTTCATACTATTTCTGCAGATAAACTTGGTGTTCTACATCACAATTCTGTGCATTTTGAGACAGAAACTTTCTTCCCTCAATAAAGAAGTCTCCACCATTCAGAATACCAGGTAAGACAGTGACAGACTCACCAGGACCCACCAAGTGGTCCTCATGATCTGTTTCTGCAGGATCCTTCTTGTTCCTTCTCCCTTAGAAGGAACAAGCCTGTGGAGACACGATAGAAACTTTCTTGGAACTACAGGACGTGTATGTGAGGGAAAACTTGTAGAAAACCTGAAAATGTACTTTTTCATGTGACTTGTTACACCTGCTCCTTTGTTTATGCAGCAAATGTCCAGGAAACACTGTGGAACTTTGTGTGACAGAGTCTTTACATAAAGCCAATGCCAAGCATTGGTTAGCATTGTCAATCCCCTTCCCAAGGCTCCACCCACTTCTGGACTGAATTCTCTTTGGTTGTAACAACTTAATTCTCATAGATACTGACCCAAAGTATTAAAATTAGTGATGAGGGTAAAGTTGGAATCAACTCAACAGTAATATATTATGCTTAACATAAGGAGACCATGAGTTGTGCAAATAGTTAAGTGCTCAACTACTAACCGAAAGGTTGGCAGTTCTAACCCACCCAGAGAGAGACACCTCAGAAGACAGGCCTAAAAGATCACCACCTCTGAACCTTTATGGACAATTCTGCTGTACTCACAAGAGGTCACCATATGTTGGAATTACCTTGACAGCAACTAACAACAAATTACATATTAGTAGGAAACTCTGGTGGCATAGTCTATATTAAGTTGTGCTTCTTATGCAAAAACTGTACATTTCCAGCAGTTCAAAACCACCAGAGTCGCTCCTCAAGAGAAAAATGGGATGTTCTCTGCTCATTGTGATTTACAGCCTCAGAAACCCAACAGAAGGTTGCTCATAGCAACAATAGTCAGTAACTGATAATTCATTAATATACATATTTATATTATAGTTATTAATGAAAATAGTTCTATTATCATTAAAATGTTTATATTAGATTTAAATTGTGCTATAATAATATAAAGGCACATAGTTCAAATCCACCAGCTGCTCCATGGGAGAAAGATGGGTGATCTCCTCCAGTGCAATTTACTGCCTCTGAAAATCCACTAGAGGGTCACCTATGAGTTGACTCCAACTCAATGGTACATGTTGTTGCTGTTAATTGCTATGGAGTTGTAGGCAACTCCTAGTGACCCTATGAATGAAAGACCTGAACAATTGTATAACTTTCATCATTTCTCCAGGTTCATAAGGTTTCTGGAGGCAAGCTATTTTGGAAGGGGATGCTAGTCCTGCTTCCAAGCTTGTTTTCATCGGGGAGCTCCTCCAAACACTGTCCACCATGAGTAACCATTATCGTATTTGACACATCAGTGTCACAGTGTTCAGCTTCACAGCAACCACGAGTTACCTCTGTATAGCAAGTGGACAGAAAAAGACCTAGAAGAATGTTTGATCAAAAACAAATAAAAATGGTCCTAAGGGCTGCGGATTAAAGTTACCCACCTTTGGCTTTGTAACATCACTTTCTGTCCACTGGGCCAACTGATCTCTCTCGTTGTTGTTGTTGTTTTTGTTGTTGGTGTTGTTGTTGTGTGCCGTCTAGTCATAGGCGACTCATATGAACGAAAGACCTGAACACTTGGATAACTTTCATCCTTTCTCCAGGTTCAATGGTACATGTTGTTGTTGTTGTTATTGTTAGGTGTTGTATAACTCATAGCAACCCTATGAACAGCTGACCTGAACCCTGACCTATCTTGCATGATAGTACAAAGCAACAATAAAATGTTGTTGTTGTTGTTGTTGTTGTTGTTGTTGTTGTTGTGTGCCGTCAAGTTGCTTGCGACTCATAGCGACCCTATGTACAACAGCCCTAAACTCTGCTCTGTCCTGTGCCAATCATACTGACTCTGACACTCCCATTCCAATTATCCCAGTCACTGAATCAATCCACCTCATAGAGGGCCTTCCCCTCCTGTGCTGTCCTTCCACCCTCCCAAGCATGATGTCCCTCTCCAAGGACCGGTCTCTCCATACAACATGTCCAAAGTATGTTAGACGGAGCCTCAGAATCCTTGCCTCCAAGGAACTGCCTGGTTTAATTCTTTGCAGGATGAATCTCTTTGTTTTCTTAGCAGTCCATGGTACCTTCAATACTCTTCTCCAGCACCACAGCTCAAAGGCATCAATTCTCCTTCTGTCCCTCCTTAGTGATTGTCCAACTCTCTGATGCGTAACAAGTGATAGCAAAGACCATGGCCTGTATCAGATGCACCTTGGTCTCCAGAGAGACACCATTGTTCTTCAGTACTTTGGAGAGGTCCCTAACAGCAGACTTTCCCATCGCAATGCGCCTTTTAATTTCCTGGCTGCTGGTGCCAAAAGTGTTGACTGTGGAGCCAAGCAAACTAAAGCTGTGAACAATCTCAATCTCTTCACCATCCATCCTGATGCTGCCAATTGGTACCGTGGTGATATCTTTTATTTACATATAAATTTTTCTATTCTTGTATATGATAGGGATTTCTATTAAATACTATATAATAAAAAATTATTTATATATTGCATGCTACAGAATAAAAATAAGATATATTCTAAATGAATGAAAATAAAATGTGTATTTTTTTAAAGTCATCCTGTAAAAGGAGCAAAGACTGAATGGAGATAGCCATGTCTGGCCTCTCCTAATTCCACAGGGGGAAATGCCCCATCATCATAAAACACAGCACAAAACCAAGTCCCATGAGGTCACACATGTTCTTCACACTCCCACGTCACTTTCTATTAATTCCAAAACTAATCTTACTACTCTACTGGGTCTGAAATCCATTGCAATAGCTCACAGAACACACAGAGCCATACTCACAATCATGAGGTTTATTAGAGAAGTCCAAAAACTAGAATTCATGCTGTAATGGTATATAATCACTCAGTCAGGACAACTTCCAAAATGTACTCACAGGCACCTCAGCCTTCAGCCTTATGGCTTTAGGACACTGTTACTTCTTGTAGCTGCCATTGCTGTGTGCCATCAAATCAGAACTTACTCATAGCTGACACTCCAGCTGGTTTTCAGAGGCAGTTTAATCGCATGGGCAGAGAGTGCCCATCCTTCTCCCTCATAGCAGTGGGTGGATTCAAACCACATACCTCTGGGATTGCAGCACAGCTTCTTACCACAAGGCCACCAGAGCTCCTTACAAACCTCAGAGTACCGCCAATTATGGCTTCTCCTCCATCCAGCCCCTACCTTAGTACTCCAGCAAGCGTGGACAAAGGGTCTTAGCTCTGGTTCTTGAGGAAACAGCCCCAAGGTTAGCTTTGTCTCTTGTCAGGTCTCTGGTTCTCTGCTGTGGCTGCTGCTGTTCCTATAGGTCTGAATGGCGCAGAAATCTTCGAACCCAAAGGACACACACTATGCACGTTCTGCTGCTTCTTTGCTGGTAGTGAGATCTCTAGATTCTGTGGCTGAATCCTTTCAATGTAATGGCGAGACTAACCAAACCCCTTGTAGATAAACATGCCCTATTTGCATATTCCCACCCAGCAACATGGCAAAGTTAAAGTCAATGGCTAGAAAAGTCATTTTGAACAATAAACCCTTAACACCATGCTCTTGTTATTAGGTACTGTTGAGTCAAATACGACTCATAGCAACCCTATGAACAAAATACCTGAAAACCCTGTTCTTTCATGACAATCTTTATACTTCCTGACACACTAGGGCCCATTGCTGCAGTCACCTTGTCAATCCACCTGGTTGAGGGTCTTCCTCTCATTCACCAACCCTCCACCATCGCCAGCATCATGTTCCTCTCCAAGGAATAGCTCCTCCTAGCAACATTCCCAAAGTATATGAGGCAAGCCTTATTTATCATTCATGTCTCCATAGAACACTCCGGCTGCACCATCTCCAAGGCATATCTGTTCATTCTCTTGGCCGTCCATGGGATGTTCAGTGCTCTTCTCCAACACCACAGTTCAAAGGCATCAACTCTTTATCTGACATTCTTAGATCCTTAACACCATAGATCTCTTCAATTGCAGCTCATAGTGATGCCATGTGTGTCAGAGTGCAGCTGTGTTCCATGTTGTGCCGTCGAGTCGTCTGCGACTCATAGCGACCCTATGTACAACAGCCCTAAACTCTGCTCTGTCCTGTGCCAATCACACTGCCTCTGACACACCCATCCCGATTACCCCAGTCACTGAATCAATCCATCTCATAGAGGGTCTTCCCCTCCTACGCCGTCCCTCCACCCTCCCAAGCATGATGTCCCTCTCCAAGGACCCGTCCCTCCTGGCAACATGTCCAAAGTATGTCAGACGAAGCCCCAGAATCCTTGCCTCCAAGGAGTAGCTTGGTTTAACCCTCTCCAAGATGAATCTGTTTGTTTTCTTGGTAGTCCGTGGTACATTCAATACTCTTCTCCAGCACCACAGCTCAAAGGCATCAATTCTCCTTCTGTCCTCCCTAGTCATTGTCCAACTCTCTGATGCATAACAAGTGATTGCAAAGACCATGGCCTGTACCAGGCACACCTTAGTCTCCAGAGAGACACCATTGCTCTTGACTACTTTAGAGAGGTCCCTAACAGCAGCCTTCCATACAGTTTTCAATAACCAAGATCTTGTAGAAGTAGAAAGTAGGGTTTCTTCTGAAGCAACTCTGAGTGTATTTGAAGTACTAACTTTTTGGTTAGTAGCTGAGCAAGAACTCCTGATGTGTCTGGTAAAAGGTGGTTATTATTAATCTTTTTTTTTCCAGAGTCATGACATTTAAAGCCATTGCCCAGTTAATCATCTTGGGATGTTCTTGGGGCCTTGGATTTTTTATGGTTGAAGCAGTAGGGAATGGAGTTGGATTGATCATTGCCTATCTGTTCACCGTCATCAATGTGCTACAGGGGGTTGTGCTCTTCGTGGTACACTGTCTCCTTAATTACCAGGTAAGGTTAACTATTCCTTCTCTTGCTAGATAGTCTCAAAAGTCTTCTTGAATATTTGTTCACATTCCTGCCCTTTCTTGACTCTTCTGTGGTAGAGAGGGGCTGTTGCCTTGATTCTGGGGAAAGGGTATGAGTGTTGCTTGGGTCTGCCATGTGCTCTGGGTCTTATATTTTCAGCATCCTAATATATCTGTTAAAAACATTGTAGTAGTCAGAACAAGGTCAGTTATGCTGCAATAACCAATGGCTTAGTGGTAAGGAATTGTGCAGCCAATGCAAAGATATGTCGTTGAGTTACCTGTGATAATGTATTTGAATTTTTTAAATAAACTGTTGTTGTTATGTGCCATTGAGTCACTTGCAACTCGTAGCAACCCTAAGTACAACAGGCCTGAACTCTGCTCTGTCCTGTGCCAACCGTAGTGTCTCCGACACACCCATCCCGATTACCTCAGTCACTGAATCAATCCACCTCATAGAGGGCCTTCCCCTCCTGTGCTGTCCCTTCACCCTGCCAAGCATGATGTCCTTCTCCAAGGACCAGTCTCTCCTTACAATATGTCCAAAGTATGTTAGATGGAGCCTCAGAATCCTTGCCTCCAAGGAGCAGCCTGGTTTAACCGTCTCCAGGATGAATCTGTTTGTTTTCCTAGCAGTCCATAGTACCCTCAATACTCTTCTCCAGCACTAGCATAAAAAAAGTTTTTAAAACAATAAGAGTCTTTTAAAGAAAAAATGGTATATAAATATATATTATTAGAAATTTAAATTTATTTGTTTGTTTGTTTATGTATTTATTTATTTCTTGTGTGTTCAAACTGTTTTTATAGCATCTTCAAACTGACAAAAGCTAAGTTTAGATGAGCTTAGAAGGTGGTGAGTTATGTTAAAGGTAGTGAATAATTTGGAAAAGTATATCAAGAATGGTTGAACAATTTCTGGAATGTAGCCAGTATCACAGAAATTTACATCTAGATATCAGTGTATGTTTTGCTGCAGAAGTAAAAAGTAAACAAATAAAAAAAATAGCCCTTCTCCAGTCTCAGTGGTTGTGACAACACAGAGGGGGTTTTTTCTTGCTCAAGATCTTCAACTGTGGCTTGATACACATTGGGTTTGTTCTGGAATCTAGGCTAAGGAGTTACCCTTGACATAGACATTGGTGATCTCACAGCCAAGCACACAGGGAATTAACAGAAAGCACAGCTTTGCTTTCTTGAAACTTCTGCTTAGAAATTACACACATTACTTCTGCCATCATTTCGTTGATCACAGCCAGTCATAAGCCATGCCCGAATTCACCTTGGAGAGAGGATGAATTATCTTCTTATAGTGACATGCACTATTGGGAAGGACACTGAAATGTTGTTTGTTCATGGATTCTCAGGGTTTTCAAAAGGCCAGTTGTGTCGTAAGTGGGTGTTTGGTCCTTCTTTCCAGTTTGTCCCAGTTTGAAGGGTCCACTGTCACCTGTCCAACCATGGATGGTCTGCTGGTATCAAAACATTTGTTGCACAGCTTCCGGTATCACAGTACCCAGGAAGCCACCCCAGGACAGCAACTGACAGAGAAATGCTGTGCTCACAAAAGCAAACAATGAACAAACAAACATGAACACAAACTAAAAAGTAGTGCCACGCCCCACACAAAAACTGACAGATAAATACTGTACCCTAATTTGTTGTTGTTAGGTGCCATCCAGCTGAGTACAGCCCATCGTGACTCTATAAACAACAGCTCTGAACCTGTTTCATCGTCACAATCTCTGACACACACTCAAGCCCATTGCTGTGGTCACTGTGTCAATCCATCTGGTGGAAGGTCTTCCTCTCCTTCACTGTCCCTCCACCTCTCCAAGCATGATGTCTGTCTCCAAGAAATAGCCTCTCCTAGCAATATGCAAACGATAAAAGCAAGCAAGTAAGCAGATAGCAGAGCCCGCCTGCGTCTAGGAAAGATAGTTCTGGTTTTCATGGCCACATCTACCATCAGGCTGGCTGCTCCTGGTCAGAAGATGGTGAGCAGGCCATGATACAACCTTGCTTACTAACGTCTTGCTAAATGCAAGTTGTTAATAAGTTTTCCAAATCTGTGTCCACAACCTTCTTCATATAGTTCACCTTCTAGAATTAATCTACATACAAATTCAATATATATGTAGTAAAGGAATATAACCCTGATATACACCTTCCTGATTTTAAACCACATCGTATCCCCTTGTTCTCTTTGAACCACTGCCTCCTGACCTAAGTATGTTGTTATTATTGTTAAGTGCCGTCGAGTCGCAGGTGACTCATAGCGAACCTATGAAGGAGAGTCCTCAACGCTTGTGTGTCTCTCATCCTCTCTCCAGGTTCATAGGGTGTCCAGAGGCAAGCTATTAGGGAAGTGGATGCCGCTCCTGCTTCCAAGCTTCTGCTGCTAAATCTGCTCAATTAAATGGCCAACCTAAGTATAGGTTTTATATAAATACAATTAAGTGTTCTGGAATTCCTAGTCTTTACATTGTTATCTGTAATTGTTATAAACCACACAGTCAAATGCTTTTGCACAAACAATCATTAGATTTCAGCAATTATATTTCTTATCCTATATCCTCTTCTAGATCTGGCTTGAATTTCTAGCATTCACCTGTCAATGTAGTGCTCTAACCATTTTTAATATCTTCAAGAGTTTATTTGCATGTAACATTAATGATATTGTTCTGTAATTTCCTCATTCTATTGTATTACCTTTCGAGAGGACACAAATAAAGATCTCTTCCAGTTAATCAAGGTGGTTTTCTTCCAAATTTCTTGGTATTGGCAAAAATGAAAAAGGATATCTAGTATTGTGGACACCATGTTTGGAAAGGTGGAGGGACCGTGCAGGAGGGGAAGACCCCAGATAAGATGGGTTGACGCAGTGACCGGGTTCATAGGGATACGTGTGTTGAAGACAATGAGACTGGTTCAGGATAGGGCAGAGTTTACAAAGAGTAAACTATAGGGTTGATATATATGTTGAACATAGGGTTACTATGAGTTGCAGATGATTTGATGACACAAAATAACAACAAGGTATTGTGTCAAGGAGCTCTGTTGGCTTTGTGGTAAGAAATTGCTCTGCCAACCCAAAGATGGTTGTTGCCATTGTTGTTAGGTTCTGTCAAGTCGAGTACAACTCACAGCAGCCCTGTGAATAAAAGATCTGAACCCTGTTCTATCCTGCGTCGTCCTCACACTTCCTGACACACAAAAGCCCATTGCAACAGTCATCTTGCCAATCCATCTGGTAGAGTGTCTTCCTCTCATTCACTGACTCTCCACCCTTCCCAGCATCATGTCCTTCTCCAAGGACTAGCACCTTCTAACACAGTGTGTGAGGCAAAGCTTCGTCATTCTTGCCTCCAAAGAGCACTCTGGCTGCACTCTTTCCAAGACATACCTGTTTGTTCTCTTGGCCATCCATGAGATAGATGTTCAGTGTTCCTCTCCAAGACCACAGCTCAAAGCCATCAATCCAAAGGTACACAGTTCAAATCCACCAGTTGCCCCATTCAGGGAGGAAAAATTAGCACTCTCCTCCTATGCAATTCATTTACTGCCTCGGAAATCTCAATGAAGGGTCAGCTATGGGTCAGTTCTGATTCAATAGTACACAAAAACAACAACAATGCTGTGTCTATTTGATAAGTATCAAAACTAGTATTCCAGTGATTCCTGGAGCCTTGTTCTGCTCTAGTGTTATAGCAGCTTGGACTTCTTCCTTCAATACCATCAGTTCTCAACCCTGCCTCCTGAAATGCTTGAGCACCAACTCTTCTCCTTTCAGGGACTCTGTGTGTTGCTTCTATTTTCTTTTGATATTTCCTAAGGCATTCAATATTTTCCCACAGAGCTTTCAGTGTGGCAACTCAGGTCTGAATTTTTCTTCTCTCCTTTCAGCTAGAGAAATGTTGAGACTGCTCTTCTATATTCTCCGCTTTAATTTTATTTTATATTGGTTTGCATACATAATTCATAAATATTGTGTATCATCCATGTACATTTCATTTCATGCATTCCTACATTCACGTTGTTTCAGACCAACACTCATGTACATTGTGTTTTAGAAAATAAACCACCATTGATGTATGTCTATGATTAACTCGTCTTTTCAGATCTTCATTGGATCTTTTCTAATTCCTTCACCCCCTCTTCTCCACTCACCAGACTGCTATCTTAGTGATTTCCTCCACTCTCCACCCTCCACTTCCTGTCCCCTCCACTTCTCCTTTTGAACTTCTTATTCCACATCTTATTAGTTATCCTTCTATTTGTACAATTATGGTCTTTATGCAGTATTTGTCCTTATGAGACTGTTCACTCAGCATAATGCTCTCCCGTGTTATACAGTATTTTACAAAATCATTACTCCTTACTGCTGCGTAGTATTCCGTTGTGTGAATGTACTATAATTTCTCAATCTATTTCTTTGTTGATAGACATTCGGGCTGTTTTCATTTTCTTGCTATTGTGAATAACTCTGCTATGAGCCTAGGTGTCCAAATCTCTGTATCTCAGTTTTCTTTTCCTTGGTGCATTTTCCCAGCAGAGCAATAGCTGGATCCTGTGGAAGGTCTATGTTCCTTTCCATTTTTTTTATAACTCTAGGTTTTTGCATATTTCATATCAGTGCTTGACTTTGCCCTTTCAAACGTCCCTTTGTAATCATCTACTTATTGTTTACTTAGTGTTCCTCTCTTTGGCCTTACTTAGCTTTTCCTAAGCAAGTTTTGGAGCCTCTTCTGACATCCATCTTGGTCTTTTCTTTCTTTTGTGTGTTTTTAGTGACCTTTTTCTTTCTTCCTGTGTGGTGTCCTTGATGTCATCCCACAACTCGCATGGTCTTTGGTAATTATTTGTCCTGGAAAGGGTTAAACCGGGTGGCTCCTTGGAGGCAAGGATTCTGAGGCTCCGTCTAACATACTTTGGACATGTTGTGAGGAGAGACCGGTCCTTAGAGAGGGACATCATGCTTGGGAGGGTGGAGGGACAGCGCAGGAGAGGAAGGCCCTCTATGAGGTGGATTGATTCAGTGACTGGGGCAATCGGGATGGGAGTGTCAGAGACAGTGCGATTGGCACAGGACAGAGTGGAGTTTAGGGCTGTTGTACATAGGGTTGCTATGAGTCGCAAGCGACTTGATGGCACATAACAACAACAACAACAACAATCCTGGAAATGGATTTGTTTTCATTTTCTCCATCTTCAACTTGAACTTGCACATGAGTAATTGGTGACCTGTTCCACAGCTGCCCTTCACCTTGCTCTCAAGGACAATGTTGAATTTCTTCATCCTCTCTTTTCACAGATATCATCCATTTTATTCCTATGTCATCCAGCCAGTGAAGCCCACTTGTATATCGTTGTTACACACTAGCAGGTCAAAACCAACTCACCAGGGACTCTCCAGCAGGCTTTCAGAGGCTGTAAATTGTGTAAGGGGAGATTTCTCATCTTTCTCCTTAGAAGCAGCTCTGGTCCACAATTAACACTCTTGGAACTAGCAGCCAAGACATCAAAAGACAGATTTGATTAGAAAAGGCTGCTGTCAGGGACCTCTGCAAAGCGCTGATGTGCAAAGATGTCAGTTTAGAGACTAAGATACGCCTGATCCACACCATGGTCTATGCAATTACTTGCTATGCATCAAAGAGCTGGTCAATGAAAAAGACAGGTGGAGAATTGATGCCTTTTAATCTGTATATATAGTCTCCCCTCTCTCTTTTCTCCTGTCAAGCTCTGGATGTCATCTAGCTGTTCAGGGATAGAATTGCTACCTGGTTTCTCTCTCATGCAAGAGCGCTGGATTCTCCCAGGAAACAGGAAGGAAGTGTCTTACACTTGCACCAGTGTGATAGTACTTCCAGCAGGAGCCAAAAGGTGGTTTAACCAGGGGTAGCCCTCTCCCAGTCCAATCGCACCAGTCTCCAGGTGGGGCTGGACTAGGACCAAGTCTCATGGGACTGGGAGTCAATAAAGGAAGTGCCCACCTGGGGGGTCGCTCTCTTTTGTCTCTCCTTTTCTGTTGTCAGCATGCTGGAAGGTTTGGCTTTACCTCTTTCCCTTTTTGTTCCAGAGATCCTTTTCCCCTTTTCTTTTTCACTTTAACTCCTTTGCCTGATCCAACTTTTACTAGCTGTGCCTCTGTCTTGTTGCCTTGATAAACCTTTGCCACTAGCTTGCTACTGTGCATGTGTATCGGTTCACTTAACTTTAGTCACCTCAGCTCACCCATTGATGGGAAATAAGAGCCAATGGTGATGAGATAAAGAGAACTCTGGTCTTTTTGTTTGTTTGTTTGTTTTTGGTTTGGTTTTTTTTTTTTTGTAATGTTAATAACAGCATTATTCACTACTGTAAGAACATGGAAACAGCCCAATTGTCCAACTACAACTGAATGGATTGAGAAATTGTGGTACATTTACACAACGGCATGCTATGCAACACTCAGGATCAATGATTTTGAAAATTATTACATAACTTGGGAGAAACTGTGTTATTATACTAAGTGAAGTAACTCAATCTCATGAGGACAAATACTGCCTAAGACCATTATGTTCACATTTTGACACATTAATGAACACCAACAGCAAATAAGTGTGCATTCCCCTATATCCCTACAAATTCCAAATGTGAAGCTTTTGTTAATCTAGCCATCTAATCAAAGGACAGCTTTGATGTTTGATTTATGTTCAACCACTTTAGGAGGTAGCATGTGATCTAGAACAGTTTTAAGACGTTTCCCTAACCTCTGATTTCTCCACACTTTCAGGTGCGAATGGAATACAAGAAATGGTTCTGTGGGGCACGTAAAAAGGTTGAAACTGAAAGCACTGGACTGTCTCACTCTACAACCCACACCAGAGTGGTAAGACCTACCTTCTGGGATGCCATTGGCCTATTTGAACCCAGTATCTTGTGCTACCAGGAGCGTCCTAGTTCCTTGATCCCATGTGAAGAGTGATTGTGTTAAGTTCCTGCCGTTGTGCAGCTGAAGCTTGTTTTGCGATCACTGCCAGAGCTCTTTCTCCCATCTCTCTTGACCTCCTCTTGCCTTCTATCCATGCTCTTCCTTTCCTCACTCCATGCCTAGATCCCCTCCCTTCTACGTCCCTCCTCTTTTTACTTCCTTTTTTTGTTCTTTATTTCCTTCCTTCCTCCCTTGCTTCCTCTTCCACTTCTTTATCATTTTCTTTTTCTTATTTCCTTCATTTTTTTCTGTAGTCCCCAATTATCTTAAAATAGTTCTTTGTCAGACATCCAATCTATGACAAACATCATTTTAGGTGCTAAAGAAACAACTTTATTATCTTTCCAGATGCTCTGCTGGAGAAGGAGGTCAATCTCCTTCTGTACGAGTCAGATCCGATTTGATGGTACACACACACACACAGAGACTAAAAAATTTAAAAGAAGAACCAATTTTATTATCTTTATTGACCCTCACACCTGTTATCATTATAGTGTTTAATTGGAGTATAAGTTCAAATCCCAGATCCACTACTTTTATGTTGATTTAACTTCTCTGGGCTTGTTTCCTCATCTGCAAAATGGGAATACAATATCGTCTCATCGTAAAAAGTGAATACGTTTATTAAGTGCTTAGAATGCCTCTGGCATACCAGATGCATGTTGTGTTTGTGAAAAAGATAAAATGATAACATAAACTGAAAAAGAATTACCTCTTTCAGTGTTCTTTGGGGAAACCCTGTAAAGGCAGATTTCAGTGGCTTTTTGCTGGAATCCTACCTTGTGATCTTTAAGAACATTAAGAGTTTTGATGTTTGAAGTATTCTCTTCAGATATCTTGGTGGTACAGTAGTTAATGTACTAGACTACTAATCAAAAAGTTGGCATTTCAAGTCCACTAAGAGGCACCTCAGAAGAAAAGCTTTAAGGCCCACTTCTGCAAAGATCTACCACTGAAAACTCCTGGGAATACAGCTCTTCTTGGCACCCATGGGTGCACAGGAATTGGGGTGTGTTTGACAGTAATTGGTTTGATTTCATAGTGTGAGATTTGGTCTCATCAGCTTTTCTTCATATATCTTTCCCAATTCGGTGGAACAGCAAGTCATCAGAGTTTATAAAATTCGGAAGACCTGGAAGTCATCAGAGTGACAAATGAGGTACCCAAGGCAGCACATTGATCCAACCACAGCTGTCAGCTCCTCTTGTCCTGTTTCTTGACTAAAGAAGAGAAATAATCTATTCCTTGTGGTCATGTGTGGATTGGATAAATGCCACTGTTTATATCTCTTACCTGTAAAAAGCTTTGACTAGTTCTCCTACTTTGACCTCTATCTCTTGGGGGGAAAAAATAAGAAACATGAAAATTCTCAGAACTAATAATACCCAACAGTGTGTGTCACAACCATTAAGTTCTCAAGGGATATTCCTTTTTTGGAAATGGTTAGAATCTTATTTTTTTGTTGCAAGTATACACAGAAAAACATACTCTAATTCAACAGTTTCTAATGTAACACGTAACATTCTACAACCAGTCTTCCCCTCATTTTCCTAAGTGATCTTAACGCATTAACATGAACTCACCAACATCTAAGTTTCCAGTCTGACCTTAAAAGAACACATTGCTCAAGATAGATATTCTTTACGAGGTGAACTAAACTATTGTCTGGTTTTTTTAAAAAAACTTGAAGGGATTGTTTTTGTTGTTTAAGGTTTAAAGATTATCTGGGAACATTAGTTTCAGGAGTTCATCCAGCCTTCGTGGCTCCTGAAAGTCTGGATTCCTTAATAACTTGAAATTCTGTTCTGCATTTTACCCTTCTGTTCAGGACTGTTTAAAGTCTTTGAGCAAAAGGTTTAGTAATGCTAACCGTCTGGCTCTTACTATATGGCAAAAGAGATAGTTGTTCATAAAGGTAATTAGCCACACACTCTATTTCCTCCTCGAAGAAAGTGCAACCACAGTTCTCCTTGGAGGCAAAGATGTCAAAGCTTCATCTCTCCTACTTTGGACATGGTGCTAGGCAAAGCTATTCCTTAGAATGGGACATTGTGCTTGGAAATACAGAGGGTCAGCAAAGGAGAGGAAGAGTCTCAATGGGATGAATTGACACAGTGACAGCAGCAATGGACTCAAGAATGTCATAGTTGATGAGGATGCCACAGGATAGGACAGGGGGGGTCAGGTCTGTTGTTCATAGGGTTGCTATGAGACACCTAGCAACAACAACAACAACACTGATCCTCTTCCTTAACTGCACCAGGTAAACAGAGACCAACTATGTGTTGGATGGCTTGCAAGCTTTTAAGACACCTAGCACTATCCAACAAACCAGGAAATGGAACAAGAGCCAAAAAAAACACATGACATGAGGTCAATTATCTGGAGAATCTCAAGAGGTGTGTCTTAATAATGAGGGCGATGAGTTGGAGTTTCTGGCTCCAACTGGGTTTATTTCCCCATCCCTCTCTGATATCTCTTCATTCCTCTCTCCCTGACTTGTATAGTGCTGTACTTTATGCTCCCAAAGATGTTTCATAACTCAATGTTTGCAGGACTCAATAATTTCTCCATAGACATGAATATAAAAATGAGTGTGGTTCAGTGGCTGGAGCAACGGGCTCTAGGATAGCCGGGATGGTGATGATGGCACAGGATAGGACAGGGTTCAGGTCTGCTGAGTTTAGGCTACGAGTTTCAGGTTCAGGCTCGCTATGAGCTGTGGTTGGCCCAAGAGCACCTCGAAACAACAGCAATTTCCTAGATTCAACAACATGAATGAACATTCAAATGTTAAGTGAAGGAAGGCAGACACAAAAGGTCACACACTGAATGATTCCATAAACTACCCAGAAGAGGCAAATTCACAGAAAGAGATGGTGGTCCCAAGGCCTGACAGGGAGGGGGGATGAGACTGGCTGTTAATGGGCATGGCGTTTCTCTTGGGGGTGATGGGAATGTTCTGGAATTAAATAGTGGTGATGGCTGTACAATCTTTTGAGTATACTAGAAAACATTGTATATCTTATGTGGGTGGATTTTATCATGTGTGAATTGTCCCAACAAAAAAATACATTTAAAAAATAAAATGAGTGTGGTTGGCTGGTTGCCTTCTTGGAAGTTATCAATGAGCCCTCACTCCTGTGTAGGGACACACTGAGGGGAACAGTTTCGCTTTAGTTTTTCTTAATGACATGTTTGAACCTTAACATAAATAAGTTCATGTTAAATGTGCCCTTTTTGTGTTTCATCTTGAGTACTTCCCAGCGTGAGTACACTAAACAATTTGACATATCAGGTGGTGGTTTGGCCACATTTGTTTTCTAATTGTTGATCTCTTTGCCAGAATTACTGGGGTTTTGGGGTATCTGTCAGCACTGGCACTGACAAAGGCGTGGGTGACTTGTGAGGGACGCTGGTGGCAAAGTCTCTAGGGAGCTGAGTTGATAACGCAGAGGTTATCGTGTGCTCTAGAGATCGGAATCCACTAACTTCTCTGGAAGAGAGAAATTAGCAACCTCCTTCCATGTGCTTTTTTTTAAAAAAAAAATAAATTTTATTAATTTTAATGAACATTTACAGAGATCCTGGATTTCCATTCATTCATTGTTGCACTATTTTCTCTAACCCCACCCCCCAGTTCATTCCTCTTTTTCTTTCCCCTTGAAAGTCTGTTTTAATTGTCCCATTGCCACAGTGCTTGTCAAAGCCAATTCTGATTAATCTCCTTTGTCAGTGTGTCCTTTGCCGTTCCCTATCACTCCTCCCTGAGAGAGATTCCACCCGGATTCATAAGGAAAAGGGGACGGGACGGCGTATTCTCTTAGCTACTTTTTGCTGAAAAGGGACACTGTAGGTTTCAGGGTGAAGATCTTCTCTCACTACTCTAAAGGGTCCCTTTGGCAATAGGAAACACATAGACTATTGTGAAGATTGATTTTGGAATTTAGATGCACTGTTATCAATTGTGCTTAGCCATACATGTTCATATTCTTGAAGATGTATCATGGAACTGTTGCAGCCTAGAAGACACAAATTTAACTAACAAGTTAAAAGTACATGAGTCAAAAATTAAAAGCAATAATATTCCAAGTAAAGGTTCTAACAGTGGCACAAATCAAGTTACAGAGAGAAGGTAGTTCTTAAAATTAAAGGCTTATTGACTAGCACCTTGTCTATTATAGTATAAAGGTTAGGAACCACAAGATGTAGAGGCTCAACTATGTCATTTATTGTTCCTAAGTCCTGGACCAAGTTCCATCTACCACTGGGTTGTTTTACAACTCAGAAGTCCGCATGCAAGGCAGAGGTGAAGTAAGGAACTGCTTATGAGGTTTTCCATCAATTCTAACAACTAAGAAATAGTGAGAAGAGTTGGGACCTCAGAAGGCTTTTAGTACCAAATAGTTGGCTCTTGTGTCCAGGAGAAAATGAATATATTTACCAGTAATGTTAATGTTCACTCACAGCTCTTCTGGGAGGATCTAAATCGTTGAAGTGCTTCCACATGCTTTTCACTTCAGAAAACCTTCCAGACAGTCAGCTGACGATGTGATTTCCACCTCATAAAACCTTCTGGAGAGTCAGCTATGGGTCACTCCTGACTCCAGCAATAGATTGAGTTTTGTGGATGGATGACTTCATTATCAGATTATTTTCAAGAGATTGTTGTTGTTGTTGTTATATGCCATCGAGTCACTTGTGACTCACAGCGACTGTTTGTGCTAGAGCCCTAAATCTTGCTCTATCCTGTGCCAACCTTGCTGTCTCCGACACACCTACTCCAAGAGATAGTTGCAATTATAATGACAGTGAATATTAAAATGGGCATCCCAGTGTGATGCCAACAGTGGACCAGCTCAGTTGCCATTTGAAAAGTGGTAGGTTCAAATCCACTCAGAGGTGCTTTGGAAGAAAGAGCTGGGGACCCACTTGTGAACACAGCTCAACTCTGACACATATGCGGCCATCATAACTTGAAACCAACTTGATGG